GGGCTGCCTTAAATTCGGCCGCGGCGCCGTTGCTCGTTTTTGCGCGCGTCCATACATTAATGCCGCTAATGAAGTTTGTTGACGAATTACAAAAAAAAGGTATAAAAAGAAAATAGGGAGCGGACGGTGACGAGGAACGGAGCAAGTGTGAAGAAACCTAACCTAGCCTAACCTCTGTCCTTTCGCTGTGTGAAAAAATGTTCTGTAGAATTTCATGCGATCCTGCATTCGTAACATAACCTAAAATTTGATTTATTCAGCTCTTGTAATTTTGACCGTTGGATACTTCAGGATGTATTTCGGCACAGGAATGAACCTTCATTTTGGCGCATAATCTCAATAATTGTAGCAAGAATCGAAATTTTTATGCCACGAAATATGTGTAACCTTGTTAATCGTCAATTATCTCATTCGTGCTCGAAAGGGAGAACTTCTTTCCTTGATCCTACCTTCTAGAATTGAAATTTGTCCCTTTCGGTACACTATATCAGTATGTATCTGGTATACTTGCTTCTCTTTTGAAATAAATCCTCGAGAACGTCGAGATATTGCAAAGAAGAGTTGAAACTTTTGACCTACCCGGTACGTGGTTGTGGCGAGTGTCGAGCGGTGAATTCGTGGCTGGAAAGGAGATGGGGCCATCGGGATTCTGTCGCTTGGCGGTCGTCCGCGATTCCAGCGCAGAAGAGGGTGGGGCACCTCGAGCCTTGAACCTGAGATGATGTCAGCTCACAATCAGAGGGGGATAAAAATCGCGGAATCTCGCTATGCTCGCTTCCTGTTGTCGCACTCCTGTCACGTGTGTCATGTGCCTTCTCGCCTCGTAGACGATGTACCTGCACGTTTGCCAATATTCGAGGTCGAACGCAATGTACCCGCTTTTGTATTCGCCGATCGCCGCCACGGCGGAAGAGGGGAAGAGGAGCACGCACTTGCCACCTGGCAAATCGCGTTAAAATTGTAACTGGATTTTCTCCGCGACCACGACCTCACGTTCCATTCGATTCGTTGCTTCCACGGAATCGAATTAATTTCGATGTTCTTTTTTTCTGGGTTAGGTTAGGCCCGCCCTCCCCTCCTCCACCAGAGGGGAACGTGATCTCGTGGATTTGCAAGAGGGATATTCGTAGCTTTTTTCAATCTGATCTCCTCGTGGGTTCAAACGTCCAACCGTTGTTGTTCACGAACTGCTGTTGACTACGTACCGGGTGGTCTGTAAATTGTGGACTCGTTAGTTACCGTTGCAAGTAAAGGTGCAGTTATACAGGGTGGTCCAAAGTTCTGTAGTGATGTAAAATAACCGCTAACTAAGTGACGACGTTTCGAAGGTTCAGGTGATTCCTCGGTGCTTCCATGAACGTGCATACTGGGTGACCAAAAATTCCAGAAATTTCACACTTCAAAATTCTTGATGTTCAATGCCGTATACGCGGTGTTCTTTTTCTAAAAGGGCGAGAAGTAAAATATAGCCGCGATGTATCACCGTGAAAAGTTGGATAATCAAGCGGCGGCCATTATTCAGGAGATAATGACTGGAAAACTAATAGATCTGGACGGTAGATCGCGTGCCGCCATTTTTCGCGTGCGACGAGGAGCCAGCCGTTCAGGAAAAATGGGTAAACGGCGACGTTTAATGGAAACACACGGGGACACGCTCGTAATTATCTTCTCTGTAATTATTGCGCACGTGAGAAACATGTTTCGCATGTCGACGGCAACAATAAACATCGCGGGGTAAGGAATTCGTTTAACGAAAGAACCGTTCCGCCTTCTCTCCCTATTAATCGCTTCTCGTTTGTACCAGAATGAACAGAAACCTGTTCTTTCGTTGATTTTAACGTCTTCTCTTTATTTTCGGTCACCCGATACGTAGACCCCTATTGAAAGTAGAATACGCACGCGTCGTTGTCGCTAGTTATATTTTTTTTTCGTGTTAAACGCCGCGAATGTCGATCGAAACTTTTCTCAAAGGTGAAGTCTGAGAAAAGTGTCATTGTCGTGAATGATTCTTAAACGATGAACAAAGTGTGGACTGTAACTATTAATACTTCAACTTTTGTAACACAATGGAAGCAGAACGAACACTATCTACGCGCGGCTTTTGTCACTGACCCATTTTCAACCGCACCTTCCGATATCTCGTTGCTGCGTTAACCTGTGCACGCAAGTTTTTCTCGATCTAATCTTGGTATGCGAAGGAATAATTTTTGCGGTAAAATCGAAAAACGAAGAGGTATTCCTGCAAATCGCTGTGCACGCTAGATAACAGTGATTTCACCGTTTGTCTACTTTTTCACCACCCCTTGTATAATACCCCACGCGCTTCGTTAGATCGACTGTTGACAGATGGACTGTAAAAATGTTTTCGCCGTAAGTACTTCTGGATCACCCGTACGTGCATACCCTATTGCGATGCTCTATTCTCACAACACATGTGCAAAAATACTAATCATAGTCACAGTAATTCTTCGTTTGGAACTTTTTCTACTGTACACTTTTGGGTTACCTGGTATATAGACTCGCGATGAATCTTTGCATGGATAATATTTACGCAAATCAGTCACAATATCATAATTTCACGTTAGTTTTTGTAAAAATATCCGGCACGTAGATATCAAGGATCCCGGAGTTTTCTTATTTCTCGCTTTTTAATTTTTTCTTTCCTTTACACGTTGAAAATCGTTCGATGGAAATTCCAACGGGTTGCTTTTCGTTCTCATTCTTTCGAGTGCACTCTGTTCGAACAGTCGTTCATCCTCTCGATCGTTAGCTAATTGCCGCCGTAAATTAGACAGCCGTGCACGCGCGCGCACGTAACTCCTTGTTCATTTATAATCTCTTCCGTGAAATTTCCTCCCGGTGCGTGTTAATTAATGGCCACACCGTGGTGTGACCACCGCTTCTCGTCCTCCTAAAGGGCCGCTAATTAATTCCACGACTGCTTTTCTTCACCCTTCCGACCACCCTGTATATAGCGTCTTTTCGAGAACAGGAAGTAACACGTTCGACTTCGTGTCAGAGCATTTCGTACGGAACCGTTCCTACTTCCGGTAGTCAGATATAAATCTGTAAAATGTTTCCCGAAGAACAGTTTTCCCCAAAAGCTGTGAAAGTTCGACGAGACACGTACCGGGTGTCCCGAATCCTCGGATACCCGATCAATTTCTTTTCGTTCGTTTTTGCGCAGAAGGTGTTTCCTTTGGAGACAACGTTTAACTTCTAAATATATCTTTTTGTAAATTGTTTCTTCCTTCTTCTTTTTTGTCATTTTTGTGTGTACCCGTCTCTTTTCTAACCTCGAAATTCGTTTACCGGTAATCGGTATTCTCTGCAGTGTCGCCATTTTATGTGTGTCCTCGTGAAACTCTCACTCTTTGTCTCTCTCGCTCTATTTCTGTGTCTTCGTGGATCACCGTGTATACCATCGTGGAACTTATTGTCGTCAACTCATCTGTCTACTGATCGCGACAGTGAACGATAAGAAAATTTAAATCATGGCAGCTTTTTCACCCTATCAGATGGAATATGTACAATTCTTGCAGCTTGCCCGAAGAACCAATTCGAATGCACCCCAGGCTTTTGCGTGTCCTCGAGGAAATGGTGCGACGGTGTCAGGGATTGTAGCAATGGAAAGGATGAGGAAAATTGTTTGCGAAGTACGAAATTAACTGCACACCGTATATACAGGAACCCCGAAGAATGAGACGAGGAAACATGGTCACTTATGAATGAGAGAACCGCATACTTCCTCGAAGTGTCGCGTAAACTAACCTGTACTTTAAAATTCGCTCACCATGTACGAGCAAATTTCGTTGCATACCGGGTGACTCGAAAGTAACAATCAAGGGTAATGAGGAATTTTAAAGTGCAACCGAGGCATGGGGGTTGGAGATGGAGAAGGTAGCGTTTAGTTTAACACAACCGACGATCTACAGGGTCGATATGAACTTTCTTGCAGTGGTAACATGGCGTGGATCTCTGATCTACAAATTTCGAGCATTTTCCATGTCTGCACTGTGGGCTGGTGAATTATTGCAAAACAGTACAGGTGTCCCAAATCAAGTCACACATCCTCGGTCCAAGTTCACTTAAAAATCAGAATTCTTTTAAACGTTGAACAATCTGTCGCATGTACAGGGTGTAACGAAAATTACGGCACTCACCGGTGCCAGAAGTACAATGTTTCGATGTTCGTAAGGATTTGCTCGAATTGTATATTGTCAAAAAAAAAAATTGGAAAAAACCGGGAGAATGTTGAATGGGACACCCGGTGGACTAAAAGACACGCGAGAAACAAGCGGAAAAGAGCAGTGTAAGTACGTGCGAACGCGCGGCGCAGGATTCGATTTCAGGTGAAACGGAAGGCTCGTCGCGTGGTTATTCGGCCGAGTAATCGCTCGAGCCGAAGAATATTACTGGCCCCCGATAATGGACGCCTGTTTCTCGAGTAATTAATTGCACGACGGCGAAGAGAAGCAGTCCTCGAGCACACCCCTCCGCCCACCCTCACTGCCCGACAAGAATCTTATTTCCCTTCTTTCTCCGCGACGAGACAAGGCGCAACGGAATAATCCGATTCATTATGATCGTTCCACTGCCTAATTATCTGCTGTGCACAAGCACCCCGATAATCGGACCCTCCAGTCTCTCCGTTTCGTCTCTAAGCACTTACCAGTTCCGGCTTGAATCGGTTCTCAAGCTGTTTGCGAACAGGTTAAGCCTGAAACCTACCATTTTTTTAAAGATACAACGGGTTTACCGAGATACCTTTGGGAAGTACAGCGCGAGGGGTTGAAAATTGGGAAATTTGGAATTTTCAGACACACAGAGACGTAACTGTAAAGTAAAATAATAATCGAGGTTAAGTTTAACTGGCAATTTTGTCGAGTCTAATTTTTTGAATTACCGTTTAATTGTTCTTTAGTTTAAATCGCGTTGCGCCTCGTCGTTATTTCATTATTTTTTCCTCATTTTCCAATTTATTTTGTTTATCTTTCGTTTTTCTTTCCCGACGTTTAGTTCGATGTCGGTCAGACCAGTTCGAGTGCTACGACGGAGAGTGTGTGAGTCTGAGCGCGAAATGCGACGGAAGATCAGATTGCCGAGATCGTTCTGACGAATACAATTGCAACGGTACCTCTATGTTTCCTTTTATCTTATTTTCACTGGACCGTGGGTGTCGTACAAAATTAATCCATCCACAGCGAGCAGAATATCGTCTTCGTGCCCGAATCTTGGTGTCGTGACGATGAAAGAAAATAATTCAGAAATAAGAACGTTTGTCGAACTTGGAAAAAGGAAAATCGAGAAATAATTGAGATTAAATACACCTCGAATATTTTTCTTCGATTATTATCAAGCATCCACAGTCCAGTTCTGTTTTACTCTTTCTTCCTCCTCGACGGTCTCTGTTCTTTTAACATTAATTCAACGGCACCGTGTAACATGTACAAGGTGTGCTTGAAACCTCGTCGCGGATCAATTTTTCAACGTTTCCTTTCTGATTTCTCAGTGACCACCTGCAGCAGCGATCAGTTCAGGTGTCAAGACGGAAGCTGCATCAGCATCGAGAAAAGGTGCAACCATCACGTCGACTGTCGTAACGGCGAGGATGAGAACCAGTGTGGTGAGTGTGTTTTCTCTTTCTCTCTGGATAGAAAAAAAAAAGAAACAAGCAAACAAATTGGAAAAGAAATGTTCGGTATTGCTGTAACCATTCCCAAGAAACAAACAGGTACCTTTGTGAAAACAGAGAAATAGACTCGAACGTGCCAGTTGGAGGTCTACGACTGGTCGATACTCTCGCTTTGAGAACCGCTGTCTAACAGCGGTGAGAGCAACATTGTGAGAGCAACAAGTCGGCACAGTGATTGTGACGAGCCGCTAATTGATCTGAATTCATTCGTGTTACACACTCTCTTCTCACCTGGACATTTTCCAACATTGAGCGGACTCATTTTTCACACGAACACGAGAACTTTTTCGTTTATTTGTTCTAATCACGTATGTCCCCTCTCTGTCGTCGGACTTGTCTGATTCCATGATAGAGTGAGAAACCTGTACGTTGACCCAGCAGATGGTCATCACCAGCAATTCACCATATTTAACCTAACCCAGAAAGTAACGAGAAAAAAAAAGGGGGCCAAGCTTACAAGGTGGATCTTGGTGGATTATCGAATTTTCCCTTCGATCTGACGATCTCTCTCCATGCTGACCTAACCCCTAGCCGAAAGTGACATCTTTTCCCGCCCTCCCTGTACGTAATTTTCCGTCACGACACGCTTGGACAGATTCTCAGCCTCGCAACGAAAATCGTCTCCAGGGTGAAAATCTCGGATCACCGGGAAAGGTGTTTTCACCCGAAATTTATCAAAAGAAAAAAAAACAATTTCCCGGTGATTCGAGGTTTCTCGCGAGACATTCAGTATCATCGCAATAATCATCCCTCGAAGGAGAGATCTAACTGTGTGACGGTTTCATTGAGAGACACCACGGCTGATTTCACTGGACGAGAGGGAAAGGAGAGCACGTCGAAAAAGGGTCGCTTGAATCGTAAGCCGAAGCTGCGTGTTTTATTTGTGAAGCAGGGGCTGATGAGAAGCCGGCTTGACTGCGCTTTTAACCCTTTAACCGCACCATTCGCACGGTCTTTATTGTTCGAAATCAGTGAGGGATTGAAAATTCCCCGTGGCCGAGTCATAACTCTAAAGGTGACTCGAAAGAGGACTGATCAGACACCATCGGTGATTAGTTGGGTGTTTTTACTATTTAGCTCTTGGTGGAGCACGATTTACATTTATTCAGACTTATTATTCACAGCTTCATCCTATGACACATCTTTCAAAGATGAAAATAATATTTTCCAATTTGATAAAATCCAAAAAGTCCATTCCAGCTATCTGTACTAACTAGATATATCTGGAGCACAGAGTTAATCCTTCAGATCTATCGAAAATACCCTTTGCCATAGTTCAATCGACACCGATCACCAAGAGCGAAGCTTTGACGGGACAAAAAGATCAGAAACAGAATCGTTCCTTTTATTCACTCTCTTCGATTGGTCGGTTTGCCAGTCCTTTTGTCCCGTCGCGTCGTCGAGCAGTACCCGGGGCGTTTTAAAGGGTTAAAATGTGCATGAGTGTGGTGTGTGGAGCAGGTTGCGGAGAAGCAGAGTTTCGCTGCACGGATGGACGGTGCATCGGTTACGAGTTGCAGTGCAACGGGGTGGAGGAGTGCGCCGATGGCTCTGACGAGAGGGACTGCGGTAATTATGCCATTCACACCACCTACACTGCCATCACGCACACTCGTACCTACATAACTACACACACGTGCACACAATTGTCTGACAAGGTTCTTTTCAAACGACACGTCTGAACCTTTTGTTCGAAAGACAACGTATTCTCGTGTTGAACGTAGATCAGGTAAATGTGAAAGATTGGAGAACAGTTGTTTAACGTGTTAAAACTACCACGACTTAGGCTAGACGATCCAAGATTTACCATTCAGAGTGGATTCGGTGCGTGGTGAGAATGAGGTGCAGTGGATTCTTTTTTCCTAGGCACCAAGCTGACTCTTGGCAACGAGGAGGAAGAGGCTGAATCACGTGTCTGTCATCTGTACATAATTCAGGCTACTACTGCTATTTCGTTCTTAATCAGTTTCTTGAGGAAGACAGCTCGTTTGGAACGGGAGAGTTTTGTCCGGTGGAAACCGTGAAAACGGAGCCTCTGAATAATGCACACACCTGTTGCTGTGTGTGACGTGGTCTGGGGATGTTTAAAATTGAAACCACCAGGCTAATTTCCCTGGCCTGCTCGTTTAATTCTCATCACTGTTTCATCCTGCATCCCTGTTGAATGCAATTTAGCGTTTTCCAAATTGATCCTGTGTAACGATCATTTTATCATTGCCTCTGTGCGAAGGGTTTTTCGACAAACTTATCCGCGATTCTTCTTGATTCAGCCTCTCTCTTCGTCTCCCTCCTTTTTCATCTCTTGGCATCTCTACCTCGATTTTTTCTCTTGTTTCCCACCGTTTCCTGCAACGTCCCCGTTGACATCGCAGTGAAGAAGTCGTGGAGGAACGTGTACAACGACGAGAGAATGATGAGGAGGTTCGTGGAGACGAACAAGATAAACCCGCACAGAAGATCGTTCAACGATTGGAAACAGCGTGAAGGAAAGCTGATGAAGGATTCCGGTGATCCGAACAGATTATACCGAAAATCATCTTCGGAGACTTTATCGAAGTCCGAGTCAACATTGTGGAACATTTTTGCAGGAAGGTCGAATGAGAATTACCTGAAATCTGCCAGAAATATTCAACGTTCCCTCGTGAAAGCTAAAAATATCGTCGACAGTGATGTGAAAAGGCCCAGACGGAAGAAGAAGAAGCATTCGCGAAGGAGGAATATAAAGAACAGTACTGACACTAACCATAGGATAAGTGAAACAGTTGATGTTGCGGTTTTGGTAGATTCTACGACTTCGACAACACCTTTGACTCGCAAATGGAGGCTTAATGCCGAGAAGAAGCTGAGGAAAAGGAAAAGGAAGAGGAAGCCAGGGAAGGCTAGAAAATACGCAACTTCGACCGTATCTACCAGCATAAAATCGACGGAGAACGAGACATTTTATAACGAATGGCAGACTGCTACAGCTGAGGACGAAGGGAGCAGTACCTCGAGAAGTGTAGAAGCTTCTACAGAGTCAGAAATTGAAGACGATCGTTCCACGAAGGAAGAAAATGAATTCACCTCTACGGTAGCAAGTACAGATCCTGTTGTTTCGACGGAAGGGAATTTTTCCAATGTTAAAGAACTGGAGGAAGTCGTAGAAACCACTTCAGAGAGTACAGGAGAAACCACAGGCTGGAATTTCTGGGAAAACCTGATCTTCAACGATTCCTCAGAGATTCTGAACATCGATAGACCCTCGGACGAAGATGTCGAGGAGAATCTGACAACCAACTTAGACGAGGACGCTAAGAGGTGGAATCTAATTGAAGAAGACACTGCAGACACGTTGAAAATCAAACGTTTCTCCAAAGAAGAATCAGAGGAAGAGTACGAAACGACTATTGGACATGAAATTACGTTATCAGACTTGGAAGATTGGTCTAGCAATACAGAAGAAGTCCAAGGATCGATTCTATCGGAAGATATACCATTTGAAAGCTTGAGAAATGATTCTGAAGAGACATCTATGAGGGAAGGAAGGGTGACACCTCCCGTGAAGGTAGAAACAGAGTTATACGAGTCTAAGTCGGAGGATTCTAAAGTCGAGATAAACTTGTTGAGCAGAGACAGACTGTCCAATAAAATTTCGAACAAATCCTCGACATCGGCTGACCAATCCTTGGAAAAGAAGGCGCACAAGTGCGCCGCGGTGTGTGCTGAATGCCGGAGGAAGTCCGAGCGTGAGAAGAAGTTGGGAACAGCCAATGACGAAAACATTGATTCAGGACTTGTTAGTATCGAGGAAACTAACCTCGTCGATGTCGACGGTGAGAACTACGCTGATTTCTCCCGGAATTCGGTAGAAATAGTCGATACCACCGTGAAGGTGAAAGGAGATCCTGCAGAAATTGGCTCAAGTGTCACCTTAAGCCCAACTTACTGGCTCAAGAAGACAGAGTCTCCAGATCTGGTGGAGGCTGTCACTGAATTGGCTGACGAGAACAGGCGGAACAAACAGTCCACGGTATCTGAGCAAAGCGGGACAACCACCAGCGAAACCACCTGGAACAACTCCACTTTGTCGTTTATCGGCACTAAACCGGCTTTCCCCGAGACGACGAGCTCTTCGGCTCGTTCAGAGGATGATACAAAAGAACTCCAGTCCAACGAGGAAAAACAGAACACGTCGACTTCTGTAATAGATGAAATAACTCTTTCCACAAGTTCCTCAATTATCGAGGCTTCTTTGTCGCCTGAGAAGAGCAAGGATACAACTGTTGCGAGCTCTGAAAAGAAATTCAACGGCACGACCGTTGAATCATCGAACAGCACAACTTCTGAGACGTTCAAGTGTGAACAGAGCCAGTTCCTCTGCGACGACGGCTATTGTATCTCTCGAGACAAGGTCTGCGATGGGATCAGAAACTGCGAGGATAACGGTGACGAGTCCGGCTGCGATGATTCCGACTACGAGGCGAACGAAATTGGATCCGAAGTGTCTGCCAGAGGTTCAGAAGCCTGTGAAAATGGGGAATTCGCCTGTGACGGGACCTGCATCAGCAGTATCTACGTCTGCAACAACAGGGTGGACTGTAAGGACGGAGCAGATGAGCTAGACTGTGGCAGTGAAGGTAGAAAGGCTAGTCACAGGCAGTGGCGAAACAGTGGGAATCTGTCCCGGAGCTGTTGGAACTATGGCTGTACAAAGTAGTGGCTTCAGTGTGACCCGGACGAGAGAAACTTTGTGTATGCGTGTTGGAAATTCTTTTTGTGACGTTCGTCTCTCTGCTTGTAAAAAAAAAAAAAGAAACGCCTTGATGGGAAGACACTGAGTGTATTTTCAGGGATTCTCTGTTCGACGCTGCGCCCTGTGAATCGTCCTTTGCATTCGAGTGGCATAATCTGAAAGGAAAATAGGATTCCGGGCTAATGATCGAGATTAGGCG